GGGTTTAGGGTTTAGGGTGTCTGATGGGATTTGCCGAGGGAACCCCAGATAGGTCAGGATTGGCCTCCTCTACTCTACACCCTGAACTTCCAAGGCTAGGGCTTCTCTAGGTCACTGTTTGGGGTCCTCAGAATAATGGTTATGGAATAGAGGCGTTTTTCTTGAGGCATCTATGTATGGAAACTACAATGTATAGCGGTTTAATACAAGTGCACCCTAAACCCTAAGCCCTAAACCCTTAAAGGCTACAACGTACATCCTAGACCCTATGCTGATCTAAGATGCAAGGACTGTGTTGCCGGCATCTCAGATTCAGACTTACCAGAGGAAGACGCTAAGTTAGGGGTACCTTGTTGGGGGGGGTCCCTGTACAAAGGATGATAGTATTTCAAGCTCCATATTAGAGACCCCTTCTTTTGGAAAACTACCAATTAGGGCTCTGCAAGGAGTAGGGATCTGAGCTAGGGTTTTGTTATGAGATTTTGGTGGGCGTATATAGGGTTGCTTAGGACCATGACAAGCAACACAAACGTGCGCAGTATGAGATTGTGCCTGCTGTGGGTTCGAGAAGTCGGGGAAGCTAAGTTTTCGTGGCCAACTCGAGAACAGGTCAATGCTTGGTTACACGCGGAACCCCTGAAAACTAAGACATCAAGTTCCATAAGCCAGAAACCCTTGAAACAACTAAGCTGCGTGGCGCTGAACATGTTGGAAGCTCTCTTGACCCTACTACACGTATTCAAAAAATATTTTGGAAAGTCCAGTCACCTCAATTCATGAGCTACTTGAACACAAATGGTCAATTCTAGGGTCTTTAGGGGTTAGGGTTTAGGTGAACAAGGTCATGATTGGGGGGGCTACTCCTTCAACAACAAGTACAAAAAAAGGTATGTCATTGACCTGAAGAAAGACAATCACGGCTTCATAGTGACTTTTTCTATCTTGGAGTTAAGAACCTTCCCCTGGATCTCAAGCACTGAATGCATGCAAATTCAAGCCCCTGAGTCAGTCATGTGACCCATGTTTTCATTTATGTTGTTTCTAACCGGCCCCCGACGTGTACGGGTCGCCAATGTTCCTACTTTGGGGTATTTGGAAGTAATTTGTATTTTTGCTGAATCTAGAATCACAAGAAACGGCAAAAATTACAAGTTTTACTAGGGTTCCAAGGTCAGCAAGGGTAAAGAATGTGTGCAGATCGTTGGACGCCTTGATTAGGGCTCTTGAAACCCGGAGCCTAAACCCTAAACCCTAAATGTTGGGGCACTCGGGTTAAAGGCGGGCAGGTGCCTCGTCCCCAAACGCTACTACTACTACAGGTGCCTCTACATGAGCCGTAGTCTAAACTCCTTAAAGGGCGGTTACATGGGGGATTATATAGGGAACTACTACAGGGGTTACTCAGGTGGATACTGGGAGTTTGGACTACAGCTCACATTAATTTTCAAGTTTTTTGTTATTATAAGTCTAATGACAACTAGAAATTATGATTCTTAGTGGGGTTCTGAAGCCGGCTTGATCCAAAACCCTTCACCAAACAGGCAGGAACAAGCTCACTTTCTTGAAGCAATCGAAGTGCTTGAGCAACCAGAGTATGAGCAGCTCCTTGACTGACTGCATGGTATAGGGTTTAGGATCGGGTTTGGATTTGGTAATTTGCATGAATAGGAGGACCCTAATATAGCCCCCATCGTACTATAGAGGCTTTATTATGCGGATCCTCAAAATGGTACCCCTAATTGTCGGAACAACCCAGTTAGTGTTTTTTTTTGCACTTTTCAGACTATGACCCAACTGCAGCCCAGATTATTTAGTCAAGCACTGGGTTACCAGGTAAGCTATACCACACGTACCGAAGTCACGAAGAGGGGCCTTCTATTTACATAGCTGCTCATCGGACTTTGGACCGTACTTATCCGTATGGATTATACACCGGCCCTATAGCCCTTCTACGTCTATATGTTCCTGTAGCCTTACTTGCAACTAGGGGGCACTTCTCGTTACATTGATGCATATACCTGATAGTCATACACTTACCCCAAACCCGTACCGCAAAATACAAGTACTCGAAACCCCAATACATAAATAAACTTAAAGTACTTGGACTGTTACCGTTTGCCAGCATCCAGGGAACCACTCAATACTCAGCTTAGCTTGCACCGGAAGGTTTTCGGAATTCCGTCGCCTAGACACAACCCCCACCCTTCTATTGATGACTGAAACAACGCTAAGCCCTAAACCCCGAATGATAGGCCTGTGTGCTCAAAGGCCTCCTGGGAGGGTTGTGCTTAGGATTTGACATCCTGCAGAAGGTTTTGCCGCTACACGCCCTTTACAAAAAGCATGGCAACCTAAATAGCCCTAAACCCTAAACCCTTCGTAGCAGAACAGGTGTCTGTTTGGGGCCTCTCCTGGTGAGTATATTAGATTCAACCACCAAAAAAAACGCTACTCATGTGAGCTAGGGGGGGAGGATAGACCTCGAAATTGCATTAAATAATGCAACAACCTGCCTAAAACCTGAGCACCCTGGGAACAGGGTTTAGGGTTCAGGGTTAAAAACACCCTTTTTACAGGAGTGGGAGGTACAACTTGGGTGCTGCCCCCACTCATGAACAGTTTGATAATATTCATTCTATACTAATATACATATATATATATATGTATATAGCCCTTAATATGGCCCCTATTATAGACTGTTAGTCGATGGGCAGGACACACGGTACAACCTTGGTCTTGACTGTGTAAGGTTTGACGATTTCCTCGAGATGGCCTCCTGGCCGAACAGAGCCCGCCCTGCTTAAAACCTCCACCGCGGTGTAGAGTTGAGAGATTAAGGTTTAGGGTTCAGGGCCTAAACCTAAGCCCGAAACCCTAAACGGGCTGGAATAAGGAAGTTCCAAGCACAATCCATCTGAGGTGGACCCAGAGCGAAGGATTCCCTAAGAGTAAGGCTCCTTCAGATTGTTACGGTCTCCTGATATGAGGCCCTTTTATATGGGAGCTAAAGTCTACACTCCTTAAAGGGGGGGTTCTATAGTGGAATATATATAGGGGATTTCTATAGGGGTTCTGAAGAGGGATACTAGGAGTTTAGACCCTGACCCCTAAACCTTAAACCCTAAGTCCCTAGGTTTACTAAGGGGGGATACTAGGAGTTTAGACCCCCTACACCGTAAACCCTAAGCCCTAAGCCCCTAGGCTTACCAAGGGGATACTAGGAGTTTAGGCCCTAAACCTTAAACCCTAAGCCCTAAGCCCTAAGCCCCTAGGTTTACCAAGGGGGATACTAGGAGTTTAGACCCTAAACCCTTAACCCTAAGCCCCTAGGTTTACTAAGGGGGATATTAGGAGTTTGGACTCTAGCTCATATGGAGTTCGCTAGGGTCTTGTCACCTTTCGACTTGAAAGATCAGACCTAAACCCCTAGAATATGCAGCTTTTGACCCAGATCCGTTTAGGGTTTAGTGTTTAGGGTTTAGGATTTGGTGCCCAAATCTGAAATTGTTCAGGTGCTTACGGCTTGGGGCTTTTCGTGATGCATGACTGAGTTGCCGTTAAGGAACTTAAGTTAAGTTACTAAAGCAAGGAAGCGGGTTTGTAAAGCGTTCAAGATATTTGAGCTTGAAAGCAGGATTACTAAAGTTACAGCATCCTTGTAAAACGCCCACATTGGGTGCTACAGCATATGGGTCCTATCCATTTTGAGGTGATTGGATCCCTAGGGTAGAGTTTGCAGCTATGGTTATTGAGCTTGTCCCCTAAGCCCTTCCCAAACCTAATGTGATTCAGTTTGGCCCCTGCGCCCTTTCCAGACCTGAGGTAATCGAGTTCCCTTTCCAAATCTAAGGTAATTGAGTTTGGCTATGTGACCTTGTTCGCCTCGGCTTTCCCTCTCGCGGGCGTGATGTCTATCATCAGTCACTTGGGCTTAGGGTCCCAGTTACTGAGTTTGAACAGGCAAAACCCCACCCTCAAACAAAAACATCCCAAACCCCCCCAAGCAATTGTATACGCCGTATACGCACCAAACCCAACAACCTTCTGCCAAGGCAACCTCATTGAGATGAAATCCGACATGTTCAAGCTTGCAATGGTATACAGGAGCCTCGGGGTTCCCAAAACCCAAGCTTACCTGGAGGCTTATAGTTTAAGATGCAGGGTTTGGGCTCTAGGGACCGCGCATAGCACGTAGAAGAAGAAAAAAGAAGGGGAGAGAGACAGAGAGAGAGAGAGAGAGAGAGAGGGGAAACCAGCGAAGGCCCAACGGGGGCTGGGCAGGAGCCCGGGCTGTCCGCTCCAGGGGCAGTCCACAGCCCGCATGAAAGAAAGAAAAAAAGGGAGAGAGAGGGAGGGAGGGAGGGAGGGAGAATGAGGGAGGGAGGGAGGGAGACTCAATCTGCACGTACGCTGCCTTCTGAGCGCTATGTGAAATACTTTTCCTGCATTTTCCTGCCTTCGTGAACACTGCAACATAGCTTGTTAGGCCCCATACCATCGATCCCTCTTTCTGAACCTTTACACCCCAAAGGGTTTCCGGCTTTTGTGAGGAGGCCTATGTCGCGTCGTGCCTCGAACATTGGTACCTTGGTTGCTTTTTGGAATGCTTTGAGCTACAGGTTGCAAGCTTCTGTAGCTTGGGCAAACCCTAAACCCAAATCCTGTCGAAGGACGTTTTCGTGCATTCTTTGAAGCGGGAGGCGCTGGTGTGTGGGTGCTTCCCAAAACGTCCGTCCCTAGTTTGTAATGGCACCTCCAGAAGTCCTGTACATGTTGATCGTGTATTCCCCTATCTACCCCATGTAGTAGCCATGTAGCCTCTATGAAGCCGTTACACCTGTGTTCGAGACAACCTCAGGTATCTGGAGAACTCTGCTTCATGTCATCGTTGCTCTCTCGGTTGCTACCAACGTGCCCCGGTGCATGCCGATAGCTTGAACGTCTTTCCTCCTGGGTTCCCTTTCTTAAATACGTCTGATCAGCTCTAAAAGGGTTGAAGCAAGCCTGTTTAAGAGGGAACCTATAGGGGGTGTAGTAAGGAAACCCATGAGTTTTGGACTTCGGGCAACTGTCCGCGGTGGAAGGGGATGGTCTTATACTCAGGATCCCAGTTAAGGTTTGTGGCTTAGGTCCGGAGAATTTCCGGGACTGGCAAAGGCTAACCTTGTGGAGAGTTTCCCTGAAAGAAACCCTAACCATATGTCTAAAACCTACCCTGTTAAGTCCCTGAACCCTAATCCCTAAACCTGTGTAGGCCTGAAACCCCAATCCCCAAGCCCAGCCCAGATCATATTCCCAAAGGGTCCAAAGTACCTCTATGGTACAAAGTATGGTTTCTGTAGTAGTAATTTCCCTTATGGTTTGGGTAAGTATACCCCATATGGGTACTTAGGACCCTTTGGGATTTGGACTTAGCGCCCAGGAGTGAGGGTTGCGGGGTTAGTGATTAGGGTGCAAGGATGAGAGTTTAGGATTTAGGGTTTAGGTAGGATTTAGGGTTTAGGGGATTAGGGTTTAGGGTTTAGGGATTAGGGTTTAGGAATTAGGGTCTAGGGAATAGGGTTTAGGTTTTAGGGATTGCTCACATCGCTGTGGGCTGGTCGGTGTATTCTGGAGCGTCGAGGGTAGGAAGGCCGGGCAGTATTTGCCCGACTCCGTGAACCCTAAACCTTAAACCCTAAGCCTTATACCCTGAACCCCAAACCCTACGTGAACCCTAAGCAACTTTAGTCATGCTGGGGGTCTAGAAGATTACCAGGTAATCGGTAAACCCTAAACCCTAAGAGCCCTAAGCCCGACGTTTTGGATCGATAGCCTTAAGCTCACCATGAATGACTGGGTTGCTGTTGAGGAATTGAATTAAGATACCATAATATAGGGGCTATATAGGGATAATGGAAAATTAAGTGGAAACTACTGTCTAGGGCTTAGGGTTAGGGTTGCTGTTAAGGAATGTAATTTAAGTTACCATATTGGGTATACATATTGCTTAATATGGTTTCTCCAATATAGCAACTTAATACAAGCTCCATAGCAGCAACCCAGTGAAGGCCACGTCTTAAGCCCGAACCTTGAATCCAACCATCCAAACGCCGACGTGGAGGCTTGTGGGTAGTTGCTGTTTAGGGTTTAGGGGTGTATGGGGTTGTACGTAGAGCTAGATGCCCCCCCCCCATATATAGGTTATAGCTAAAGTCACCCTGCTTAGAACCTCACTTGCATGTTCTCATGAACCTCCTGGTAGATCCCCAGGGGATTTGTTTGGGGGGATACTCCAATGAGCAATACAGAGTAAGAGCATCTTCTTGCTTCGGGTATAGTACTTTAGAAGGAGAATCTCATCTTACTTCATGCGGCCTCTAAACCCTAAACCGTGAACCCTAAACCCTAAACCCCTAGCCCAACCCCCCCCAAAATGCTGCTCAGGTGATGATCTTCACCATGAGTGAGCAGTTTGCCTCCTGGGCTCCTGGACTCTATCGAGAAGCCAGCAGTGATGATGTGCACGGTGGACGGTTCAGGGTCCAGGGTTCTGGGTTTAGGTTTAGGGTTCAGGGTTCATTCATGGTTCAGGGTTCAGGGTTTAGGGTTTAGGGTTCAGGGTTCATTCAGGGTTCAGGGTTTAGGGTTTAGGGTTCAGGGTTCATTCAGGGTTCAGGGTTTAGGGTTGGGCGTGGTCTCAACCCTAAACAGTTTCTGGGCGGGGCTTACACTTTGATACTAAACCCTAAGCACTGAACCCCGGGAGCTAAGCCCAGGGGTTCGAAAGGGCCTTCCGTTTTAGAGCAGGTATTGTCCCCATACAGCAACCCTTGCATAGAACGTAGATATATTCAAACTTTATTATATAGCCCCTAATAAGAGCCCCATTGCAGACTGTTGTACAGAAGCGCCGCAGGCTCCCAATGCCGTTTTGAGCCGACCTTCTAAACTTGGCGCAGTTGGCTACATTCCGAGTACCAGAACACTATGGTAGGGTTAAGGGTGTCACAATGTTGTTGATGAAGGAAATCTTGCACCACCCTATAGATGCCCGATGATGGAACTTGCAGTTGTTCAGGGCCTCACGTCGTGCAAGATTTCTTCCATCCGTTGTAGTAGATATACATGTATGTACATTTGTAGGGTTTAGGGATGTTTGTTTAAGTCCAGGTACCCCAACAAACACTACATGATAAAAAATCCCAACATCATCGTGGACCCTCACACGCTTCCCCATAAACGTCTACCCACCATGAAAACCTAAACCCGAAGCCCTGAACTGAACCAGGCGAGGACGCACCTAGTCCATGTCCAGGGTTTAGGGTTTCTTCCAGCAAGGTTTCCCGTGATTGCTGAAGCCGTGCCTCGTTGAACAGGGTGAGAGCAACCCCATGTTTACACCTACCTTGTAGTATGGCTGCACTGCGCCTTCATAGGGTCTATTCTTCCCTACATTCTCTACATTTAGTCTCCATTTTTCTACAAGCCTGGACGTACATCCCGCACAAAGCTTGACCCTGTAGGGTTTGGGAGGTTTAGGGTAAAGGGTGATTCAGAAGGAAAAGAAAGTTGCAGAATTGCATGGAATCTGGGAGTCACTACTTGGATGGTCGGGGGATTTAGTAAGTAGGTTCATAAGCCCTATAATCAGCGTAGTAACCCTACTTATCCCCATTACTCACCTAGTTTCTAAGTCCCCTTGACCCTCCAAGTAGTTTAGGGTCAAGGGCAAGCTCTTGCTGCGTTCGGAAGCCTTGCGTTCGGCGAGGATTGTTGGCCCAAGCCACAGACGCGACGACTGGTACAGCAGATCTTGTGCCGTGGTGGAGGTTCCACAATTCGGAGTAGTGGACATAGGGCCCCTCTTAGTTTAGTGCGGTCCTTAATGTAGTCCCTAATAAGGAACGCATGTCCATTCAATCATGTAGCACAGGGTCTAAATTCTTAAAACGCGGGCTATATACGGTGTAGGGTATAGGGTTTAGGGTCTAAGGGACTACTATAGGTGTTCTTGAGAGAGACACTAGGAGTTCAATAGTTCACATGCAGCCAGATGCGCCTGTTTTGTTTAGAGTTTGAGTTTGGGGGTTCTAGGGTTTAGGGTTACGGTTTCAGAGTTGTGAGAGCGGTTTGTAGTTGCCAACCGGTGACTTTGCAGCGTTTTTCCCTGGCTGAGAAAGACCCCCTGTAGGTCACTGTAGGTCAAGCCTTTGTGACCAACCTCACATGCAGCTCCAAATTCGCATCCCCCCACAACCACCCGCCCGAATTCTCAACCCTCTCATGCAACTGTTCAGTTTGCGCCCCCTCGAAGTGTATGTACACTGTTGGTATCCCTCTGCAATGCATATTGAAAATCCAAAGCCCCCCTGAACTTTCAAGCGCTCATGCGAGCAGCTGCTTTCAAGGTCATGCGTCAAGGCGCAGCAGTTTGCTGGGCTTCAGGATCCAGGGTGTCACACGATTGGGTTCAGGGTTTAGGGGTTTGGTCTTATCAAGAGGTCTCCATTATTTGCCGGCCCTATAGTTTTCAGAGCAGCACATCTGGAAAATAAAGCAAACCGGCTGGAAAAGTGATTGCGCAAGTGGAAAGTGCATCCATCAGGGTGTGGGTCCATAAGTCCATGAACAGAGTTTAGGGTTTAGGATGATGTAGATCAGCATACTCTGGGGTCGTGATCTTCCACTACAGGTCCAGCACAGCTAGCTTCCCAATATCAAGGAGCTGTGGGCTTAGCATTTACAGGCGGCCACTGCTCACCCTTAGAATCTTAGATCTAAAGCTCTAAAGCTTAGACTCCTTAACCCAAAGTCTTAAATCCCTGACCCAGAACCTCAAAACCCTGAACCCCAAAGCCCGCGCCTTAAAAGACCTGAACCCTGAACCTCAAGTTCTCCAAACAAATCACGGGATTTAGCTCACCATGGACGTCTGCCCCCGCAGCACGCAAAATCGAACCAACAAGCACAGCACTCACGCAGTCTTCACGCCCAGAAACTCAACCACCCTAAGCCCCGAGCCCGAAGCCCCAAATCCTGAACCCTAAGACCTAAACCCTAACCCCT